TTCTTTTGTTGTCTGCTGTACACTTTTTACTTTGTTCTTTTTTTCCCCTCCCTCCCCTCTACCTACCACTCTAAGGCTACAGTGGATCATTGGATATATTTATATATAGGTATTGATATATATATATATATATATATACACACACATACATACATATATATACACACACACACACATATATATACATACATATACACATATATATACATACATATACTTTCATAAAAAATTCTACTCCTAATCTTTGTTTTTGTTTGTGTATATCTCTTTATTTTTCCTATCTCTCCTAACTCCTCTACTTTACTTCTGCTACCTTACCCTCCTATTACTTAACCTACCCCCACTTCAGCAATCCCTCCCTTATCCTCCCATTCCCCTAAATCAAAACCCCCTTCTATATCCTCTTTTTAACCTATTCCCACACCCTCCCCTCTAAAGATCCCTCCTTTATCCTCTCCCCCTCCCTATCCCCATAGAGTTTTATTTGTTTTTAAATTTAAAAAACTTTTATTCTTTTCTAAATGTATATGTATTTTCCCCTCTTAAACCCATTCCTGATTAGAGTAGGGTTCCAGAACTAACAGCCCCTCTCCTCCATCTAATTCTTCTGCATTAGTTCTTCTTCTCGCATGTCATTTGTAAAAGATAATTACTCTTTTAGCCATACTTGAATGGTTTTACTTTTTGAAGTCATTTCATATTCAAGTTTACCCCAATCTTCCTTATAAGTTACCTAATTACTAGTAACAATCTTAGACATAGGTTTTACATTTTCCATACAGAAAAGGTAAACATTCTATACTTATTTAGTTCTTTGTATGATATTGGTATGTACCTTAAAGTTCTCTTGGCTCTTATATGTTAAATCTATTGAGTTCAGGTTTTTTTGTTTTTGTTTTTGTTTTTAACAAAGACCTGAAAGTCTGACAACTGATCGTGTCCATTTTTTTTTCATTCAGAATTATGCTTAGCTTTGCTGGGCATGATAGTTTTGACCAGAAGCCCAGTTCTTTTGCTCTTTGATAACACAGTGTTCCAAGACCTGTGATCTTTTAGTGTCGCCACTGCTAGGCCTTGTATGATTCTAATTGTGGTACCACCATATGTAAATTGTTTTTTCTTGTTGCTAATAGTATTTTGTCCTTGATCAGGGGGTTTTGAAATTTGACAATAATATTCCTGTGAGTTTTCCTCATAGGAGTTCTTTCAGGTGCTGATCAGTGGATTTTTTTCTATTTCTACTTTCCCCTCTTGTTGTAATGCTTCAGGACAATTTTCTTTAATTATTTTTTGTATTATTGTATCGAAATTCTTTTTTTTAATCAGAACTTTCAGGTAGTCCCATTATTCTTATGTTTTCTCTTTTTGATCTGTTCTCTAGATCTGTTGTTTCTCTGATGAGATGTTTCATATTCTCTTCTATTTTTCATTCTTTTTAATTTTAATTTTTATTATTTTAATTTCTTCATCTCTTATAACTTCACTGGTTTCCTCTTACCCAATTCTGATTTTCTTCCTTAAGATTCTGAATCTTCTTTTCTAATGGTTGACTTTCTTTTCTTAACCTTCTTGTTTTTCTTGTATTATTCTTATTTTTCTTTTTAGTTTTTCCTCAGTCTCTCTCATTTGATTTTTAAAATCTTTTTTTAAGTTCTTAAATGAGTTCTTTTTGGGCAGGTGACCATTTGACATTACTCTTTGGGGGTAGAAGAGGGTTTCTTTGCTTCAATATCCTCCTCTGAAGACCAGCTCTGATCTTCTCTATTTCTGTAATAGCTCTCTATGGTTGGATTCTTTCTCCTTTGCCTGTGCATTTTTTTTATAATAATTTAGTTTTTATAATCACCTCTAGTCCTGGGGTATGGAGGATGGTGCCTCTAATCCTCTTTAGTTCACTCTTCTGACCTTGAACTCAAACCAAGACCTTCAGCCTCCTCTAAGTGCCCACAGCAGAGGCGTCCCTACCCCACTGCTTTGGCACTTACTGATGTGTGCTACTTTGTTCTGGCACCAACCAAGTCTCTGCAGCACAGTTGGGTGTGGTGTTCCCATCAGCAGAGATTCCCTTAATCTTCCCCGGGACAGATGCCCAATTCTGCTCACTATGCTGGGGTTAAAAATTCCTGTGGCTGAGCTGAGGCAACCTCCTAACCCAGCTAACCCCAAGCCTTGCCTCTTGTTGTTGAAGGACCCTAGCCTGGAGGTGTTTACTTTTCACAGGAAGGAAATCTTGTCCAGGATTTTTCTTCAGATCTTCTCTAATTGTCCCAGGAGGACCCCTCTTCTGCCCCTAATCTTATTTGTTTTCTCAGCTCTATGTTCACCCAGAGGTGCTATTTTGTCTCTTTTGTGGAAGAAAATCTTGAGAGTTTGACATTTTCTGACCTACACTACCATCTTCCCAGAATCCTCTTCCCCCACTTTATAAATGGGAAAATCAAGGCCCAACAATGTCAAGTAACTTGGTAATGGATCCAGGTCCATGGATCCCAAATCTAGTGTTCTTTCTAACATACTACACTAGAAAACTTCTTTCATTTGATCCTTTTTTTGAAGGATACCTTTCCACAGTCCTGGCAAACATTTATCTGTCATTTACCTCCTTGCATAATGTCAGTTCATAGTAGATGGTTGGACAAAGTAATTTTTGTAGTGATATAAGTATTAACTAATTTTGATGTATTAGTGAGAGAAACATCTTATCTTCCACCAAAATCCTACTCTGGCATAGAGGTGACTACATTCACCGAGGCCATGCCAGTGTAGTGAAAGTTCTCGTAACTCATCCTGGTTACTTATCTAGTAACTTGTCCTACCCAGCTAGAAAGACTTCAATACAAGGCCATTGAAGGTCTGTGTATCTGATGTCCGAAGACCAACCTCTCCACCTTTGTTGGGAGAAATAATTAGAAAAAACTATGGGCTCTATAAGTTCCTAACTAAAATAAGAAACCAATTTTTCCCCCTGTAGAGCAGAAAGAGATGGATGCCATCTGGTCCAACAACCTCATTTTAAAGATGAGGAATCTAACATCCTAAGAAGATGAGTGACTTGCCCAAACTAACACATGTGGCATGTAGCAGAGTTTCAATTTAATTCCAGGTCCTCTGACTCCAAACTCAATGCCCTTTCCATGGTACACATTCCCTTACTATATGCCTGTTGGCTACATAAAAACTATGCCTACTGGTGTAGGTACTGAGCAGCATCTAGCAAGAGCCATCTTCTAGGGGAAAAAGTTTGGCTTTTTGGGTTGAGTGTTTATTGGATGGAACATAGCCTTTCACAGCAGCATCTGCCTTGGCTTTTCTGCCTCTTGTTAACAATTCCCCCCTGTTATTCAAGCCACAGTTAAGAGATCTCAGGCACATTTCACCTTGGACAAGCAGTCATAGTCCAGTGAGCTGGCCAAGTGGTTGAATCTCAGTTGCCCACACATGAACTCCCCCAAACATTTCAGCTTGAAGCTTTAGGACTGGTCAGAAGCATATAGGACATTGAAAATCCCCACCACAGCTCTCCAAGCCCCAAGTAGCAGTGAGTCACTCATTTGAGAGATTTATTACTAACAACACAATTACCATCCTATGCATGAAGAGCAAAGTTTCTAAAGAATGTGAAATCAACCACTATTTAGTTGAACAGAAACAGATGCAACAAGTTGAAATTAAAAAAAAAAAAAAAACAACCCACAGTCTGAAGAAAGTATTAAGTGGGTCATCACAAAGGACTGTAATTTTGTAATTTTCTACCTCTGTATTTTTCTCACCATAGAGCACACAGCACCCTCCCCACCCCCCAATTATTTTGCAAAATCTTGGCTTGCAGCAAGAGACATTTTTGGAGGCTTAACCTTGGCTTTTGTTCAGATAACTGCACGTATCCCCAAATTCTGCTTATAATAGGCCAAGCCTCCTCTAGGATTCATTCCATCTTCTCTACCCTCAAAATAATTTCTGTCTTGAAGACATAAAGTTAGCATAATGAAGTGATGAGTAGCAAATTATTTACAGAAGGAGCAACTTTTTCTCTTCGAAAAAAAAAAGTTGTCGGAAAATGTAGTTGCGTCCATCCTTTTAGGAATAAGATCAATTCAATCCAATTAGGTCCAGTCAAACCCCTGCCATATGTCACTGTTGTGACATTGTGAAGGTTACAAAAGAGTGAAAGTCACCATCCCTATCTTTTATCTATTATTGGGTGAAGACTTGAATGCATAGAGAGCAATAAAAAATCATATAATCAAGTGGTGCACCGGGTGGGACAGATGGCAATTACAATAGCAGTTTGGGTCCAAACCTCCTATCTTAGGATCAGAGGGGGAAGGGTCTTTAGAGATCATTTAACCCACCCCCTTCATTCAACAGGTCAGGAAACTAAGGCCCTGAAGGGGTAAGTGATTTGCCTAAGATCACATAGCTAGCATAAAGGAGAGCAAAGATTCAAAATCAGATCCTAAGACTTGACCTATCACTTTTTCTACCTGTAATACTACGATGCCCTTAATCCATGAGGTCATTCTTGGTTACTTGATGGCAACTAACACACACACACACACACACACACACACACACACGCATGCATCTATATATACACATATGTATGTGCATGTATGTATAACTACACATCTACATGCATATATACAAACATGTATACATGCATGCATGTTTGTGTATACATATGCATGTATACTGATAAGTCATAGGAACATCAGCTATACCTGGAAGGAACCCAGGAGGTCATCTAGTCCACCCCGCTCTGATTTTATAGATGAGATAACTGAATTATAGGGTGGTAAAGTGATTTCCCCAAGTCCCATCGGTATTAAGTGTCAGAGGTGGGATATGAAATCAAGTAGACCCCTCTTGGGAATGATTATGCATCCAGCCCTCTTTTTACAGGGTAGAAGAGCACGGGGGATGGACTTCATTTGATACCTACTCCATCATGTTAATCTCGGTGTGCGTGTGTATTTGTTTCTACATTGGCATTGTTTCAGCTCCAGGAGTCAGCTTCTAGAAAGAGTGTGGGAAGCTGATTTGGAAGCTTGTCAGCTTTTGATCCGGGGCTTCCAGCTTCAAGAGGTCAGCAGCTGTGTTTCAGAAGGAGAGGAGATTCAGATAGACCGCTTCGAGATGGCCACCCCTGCTCCTGCCCCTGTCACCTCTCTCCTCCCAAGGCCCACTTCAGAAGACGGACTGAAGCCTTTTTGTCAGCCGGCTGAGGAGTGGCAAGCAACCCTGTACCCCACCATTCAGGGTGGTGGCTGTGAACAGAAAGAGGTACCCAGATTTGTCTAAGGGGTTTTCCCAAATAGTTCTCCCAGGATGGAGTTTCCCCAGGAGCACCAGACTATCAAAATCTAGGGTACCAAGTATAAGGTGGGTTCTACATCTTATGGTGGGCTCTAAAAATCTGGTTCAAGCACATCTTTTTTTAAAATTAAAATCTATTTATTATAAACCTAACAATGATCAATCAATCACCAAGCATTTATTATGCACGTACTATGTGCCAAACTTTGTATTAGGTGCTGGACATATGAATAAATAGAAATGAAATTAAATAGGAATGGAAAAGAAACAATCCTATCCTCAAGGTGTTCATATTATAATCAGGGAGATAAGGACATAATAAGGACATAAACACACACATATGCATATATATGTGTATGTATGTATGTATATATATAAACTACACATGTGTATATATGTATATATACATGTATATAATGTATGTGTATATATGTAGATACACACATGTATATATATAAAATATATACACATTTATGTGTATATTTGTATTCATATACACACACACATATACTTATGCATATATGTATGTACATAATAAATCCTAGGTACTTAAATATAAGGCAGTTAAAGAGTGAGGGCACTAGCATTTGGGGAGATCAGAAAACGCTCCATTTGGAAGGTGGTGCTTGAACTGTTTCTTGAAAGAAGAGAGGTGAAGATGAAGAATCCTTCAGGCATGTACAGTATCTAGTAGCAAGACCCAGAGATGAGAGATGGAGTGTCATGCATAAGAAACACAGAGAAAGGGGCAGCTAGGTGGCACAGTTGATAGGGCAACAGCCCTGGAGTCAGGAGGACCTGAGTTCAAATCCAGGCTAAGACACTTATTAGCCATGTGACCCTGGGCAAGTCATTTAAGCCTGATTGTCTCCCAAAAGACCTCAAAACAAAAAGAAGCACAGAGAGAGGCTAGTTTGGCATCTTTTTTTTGAGAGGGGTGAAAATTAATATCCACTGAAGCTGGAAAGGTTGGTTAGGGTCAAATTCTGAAGGGTAATAAAAACAAATTGGAAGAGTTGGTATTTTATCCTGGAAGAAATAGGGAGCCACTGGAATTAATTGAGTATGGGAAGTAGAGTGGTTGTATCTTTGTTTAAAAAGTATCATCCACCTCATCAATCATTAGCTTCTGCTTATACAAAGAAGAACAGAAAAAGAAATGTATGTGAAACTAGGAATCTCTATATTGTACAGCTTGTTTTTAAGTATATTTGAAATTTAATATGTTCTGCTCATCTGTGACCCCCTCTGAATTTGTTTCTGCTCTCTTTTGTGTATTTTTAAAATGTTTTATTGGTCTTTACTGTCTTCCTTTTTTAATCACTCTCATTTCCCATTTCTTCCCCCAACAACTCTTTCCTTCCACAATATTGAAGCCTTTCATCATAACAAATATGTGTAATTAAGCAGAACAAATTCACATATTGTCCTTATCTGAAAATATATACCTCATTCTGTTCCCCTAGTCCCTCACTTCATATCTGAGAGGTGGGAATGATTTCATCATCAAACTTTTAGTAATTGCATTCATCAGATTTCTTCAGGCACATCTTTTGATTATGCTAAATGTATGTTTTAGGAAAATTAAAGCTTGGATTCATGTAATCCTTTACTCTGTTCTAGATGAAAAAAAAAGCATTTCCCTCTACCTTTCCTTTCTCCTCCCACCATGTGACTCTTTAAATGAATGGGCCACTGGAGCATCTTCCAATTTCAGAGCCGTGGTGAGAAGATTCCTAGCTCTTCTCTGGCTATATTTCTAGGTCTTTTATGTATTAAAGGGGGAGAGGTGGTGAGGCTAAAAGAAACACGCTTTTCCTTTTACGTAAATGTTGGATATGTTGATGTTGGATATGCTGATTCATTCAAAACATTTACAATCAACCAGTGATCAAATTCATAAAACAATAAGTAAGCAAGATGCTGGGTAAGGCCTATCACATCACAGCCCTGTCTTGCATGTGGGACAAGTAGCCTTTTCAAAGGTGCTCAAATATCTTTTTTTTTTAAATGAAGCATATACTGATAGAAATTAAAGGTGTGCTTAAAGGGAGTGTGATTTTCACAGCCATTGCATTCAGCCATTGGAAAATGAATAGCTGATTGTGCATTTGAAGTGATTTAATTTTGTAAGAAAGTCAACCATTATCACATTCTGCAATCCCCGATGACTTAATAAAATTATGCTCTAAATTGAGCTGCAGATGGCTTCATTTTTTTTTTTTGTTACCTGAGTTATTGAACATAGGAGTCCACATTCATTCAAGGCCTGGTCACTTCTTCATCGTTTGCCTAATACTCTTGGCAGGTGGCACCTGTGGCTATTGTGATAGGTTAAAATGAGCCCTTTAAAGGAAAGAAAGCCATTGAGGGCTCACATGGATAAGCACCCTAAAAAAGGGAATGTTTAAGGGAAGGGCTAACTCTGTAAGGGGCACTTACTAGGAACCCATCAAAAGGACCGGGGGTCATGGTGAGCAAAATGAGAGGGGGCTGCAATATTAAGTTTGCGACTGTGAGAGGGCACAGCATCGTTCAACTAAAAGTAGGGTCGAGTTTCTAGAGTTTTGCCTTATTCTCCAAAGAAACAGAATAGAATAGTATAATTAAAAGAGGATTGGAATTGGCTTAGGTGCTTAATGGCACCTTCTGTGTTTCAGACATTGTTCTAGGTGCTGGGATGGAAATACAAAAGAGGGAACAGTTCCTGCCCTCAAGAAGTTTACAGTCAGTTGATAAACATTTATATAGCATCTCTTCACTGTGCTGTGCTGCGAGCTTGGGAAGACAAATAAGAAAAAGAAAGGTCTTGCCTTCAAGGAACTTACAATCTAGTGAGGAAAGACGGTACGCAAAAGGAAACTGAAAAGTGGGTAGTGAGAGAGGCACCCAGCGAAGTTCAAAGAATACAGACTGGTGGGAAATGGAGAGATGGTTGACCTGAGTGTCCTTCTTAAATGGAAGAAGAGCTGCTTGTTCTGCCTTCCAATCAGAGGATCAGAGGGCACTGATGAGGTATGAGTATTAAGGCTGAATCCTTCAGGGTGATGAGGCTCCCTGGGGGTGTGATGGCAAAATCCAAAGGAAGGCAACTGGGTGGGAAATGATATACCACTGTAACAACTACCTGCAGTTCTGGGGAGGGTATCAGAAAGAGCTCCCTTCCCTCATAGGGCACAAGGGAAAGGCTATGTCTGGGTGAAGATGAGAAGGGGAAAGGTCTTTGGAAAGGAGGAGATCACAAATACTTTTGCCTTCTCACAAACCAGAATAATCAATACCCAACAGACATTGACTCAGAAATCATTGGCTCAGGAGGTTTTAGTGGTTATAAGCCTCTCAGAAGCTTTCATATTCTCTACAGCTTGTTTCCTTCTAAGACCAGCAGAACTAAATAGTGGAGGAAGGGAAATGCCAAATAAGAGAAACATTGAATAATGGAATTTGTATTTGGCTCATGGGATTTGAAAAGACTCAAGAAAAGGAAAGGAAATGACAGTCAGAGGTCTTATTCTAAAGCTGTTCTTGCTCTTCGTTTAAATATTTAGAAGTAAGCATTTGGTCAGTGAAACCTGGGCACTCAAGAGTGGCCTTATGGCTAAAATGTCTGTGAAGTTTTCTACTTAAGTACAGCTCAAGGCAGCTCTCTGGTGGGGATGGCACCCCAGTTTTCTTTTCAAAAGGTTTTGACTGGAAAGCAATCAAGCACAACTTGTCTCAAATCTTCCAGGAAATAAGTTGATTCTTCCATGAGATTTCCTAAGGGAATTCAACTTCCCTGGGCTTGACTACTTTGGGAGACAGCTTGATGTAGCTGGAATCTTGCAGAGGATTTTGGATTGAATCCAAGCTGGCTCTGCCATTCCTTTCTGTGTGGTCATGGACAATTCATTAAACCTTTCTGGGTCTCAGCCTCATCATTTGTGAAAAGGAGTTGTGGTTTCATCATGTGGTTTACCCATCAGGGTAAAGAAGATCCAGATTCAGGTCTTTCATCTGTCTCTTGTAGGCTGTGTGAACTGGGGTTAGTTTTATAACCTCTTAGAGCCTCCTACTCTCTAAGATCCAAAGTTGCTAAGTGGGTGCTGATTTGCATTGATGGAGTCCTAAAACAAGGAACTCCCTCTAGTAATGAAATTACAGGTCTAAAACCAAACAAAAATAAATACATGTGTATATGTGTGTGTGTGCATATAATTACATATGTTGCCCCAAAATAATTTAAAACATACTAAGATTTTTTGTGTCTGATATAATGTGTGTTTACATGCATGTATACATTTAGAAAATTTTATATACATGTATAATTAAATGCTCTCTCTCTATATATTATATTATATTATATTATATTATATTATATTATAGAAGAAGAAAAGAGGAAAGAAACAGAGAAAGATTTTCTTTAATTGCAGTTTCTCCTTCCTTTTCAATTTAAGGTCTTTTAGATTAGATTTAAAGGGTCTAGGCAAATACATTTTTACCATCTCTTGGTACTTTATCTCTTACCAAGAGCCCATCATTCCTATATTTTAATCTGTCGCTCCAAAAAAACTCGTTTTCAAACCTCGGTCTTCTAAACTAGATCTTTACTCCCAAAATCTGCTCTCCCTTTCTGAAGACATTGTCTTAAATTGTTAGCAGAGACAAAAACCTTTTCCCTTAAGGTCTTCAGTTTCTTTTCTAGACTTTGTAAACCTTAGTGCTACATCTGTGATATTCCCAGAGTTTAAAGGTAAAACAGGTAGGAGTAAAGGGGAATCAGCTCAGTCTGATACATATTGAGTTGGAGATTGAGTTGATGGGGGATCTATGCAGAACAGCCCAAAAGGCTGCTAGTGATGCAGTGCTAGAGTTCTAGAGGGAGGTTAGAGTTGGATATATAAGTTTTCAGAGTTATCTGCATAGAGATGATGTCCACAGAAGCAGATAAGAGCCCCATGGAAGAAAGTATAGAAAGAACAGAGAGC